CATAGTTATATATAAAATAGAGTTTTATTGTATATGTTGTGGTGACTTAAATGAATATATCGGAACAGAACATGATATACCTGTACTTGAACAATATAATGATGTTTATGAATATCATGGATGAAAATCGATGTTCTTGTGACAAATTTACAAATTCTCAAGGTAGACAATTGATCGACTTGTTCAAGACGTATACCTTTACATTATCAATGGAAGAGTCGTTGATGACAAGAATAAAGGCAATGACACATTTATTTCATTACAGGGATGCGGTATTACAGATAATGCGCTTTTTTCAACACTTTCAAATGAGTCTTCCCATTTTCTTTTGGTAAAAATAATCGCAGTTCTTTGTGACAAGGTTGAAAGGTTTACAGAATCTCAATGTACTGAAAACAAATATAATTTGAACTACAAGACTAAATCTAATTGACGTTCCACCAAGACCTGGAAAAGTACTTTAATAATGAAACACTCCATAGAATTATATGCGGTATAGTTGATATGAACAATAATATTAATGATTGTGTGATAAAAATTACAAATGTGTTAAAACAAGTCGGTACTGATTAAAAAATGTAGAAAAATACTTTAGTCCTAGGTGGTAAGATAAAGAGTAAAACGTATAAAATATAGTCAAGAGCAGAACGGAAGATAATTTACAGCTTTATCTACAGGCCAGAAAACAATATAAGAATATAACAGTAAAAGTAAACAGTTTCATACGAATGAAAAGTGTAAATGATTCTAAATCCAGCTAAAAAAGATCGTAACTGTAATACAATTAATAACTGTAAAACAATTGATAGCAGATAGTTTTTATTCTGTAATATCAGATGATGAGGTTAGGACAGCTCTAAGACATCTTAAGCATAGCAAGTCACATTGTCCAGATAATATTATGCCAGAATTCTTTATATACGGAATTGACAATATAACACATGTTTTTGTAAGGTTATTTAATTGAATATTTCTTTCAGGTGAGTATTCCGAAAGTTGGTCTGAATCTATCATTGTGACAATACATGTACATAAAATAAGTGATGTAAATAATGTAGAAAACCATATAGTAGTATTTCCTTAAAAAAAAGTCTGAAGTAAAACTTAAAATGTTGTAATCTTCTTAATAGATTGACTTTTTTGCCCAAATGTATAATATAATTTCTGAAAACCAGGCAGGGTTTGAAGCCATTTACTCGAAAATTGACAACACATTTATTTTAAAGTCAATTATTGATCGTATCCCCAGAAACAAAAGACGTAAATTATAGATTTTGTAGATTTCAAAAAGTATTTTTTTTACACAAGAAATAGACATTTATTGTGGAATATCTTAAACGAAAATGGATTACTTTTTAAAGCCTTTAAAGGCATGTATGTTAAAGTCAAAGTTATGTGTTGTTTGTAACTACACAAGAAGTGAGTATATATATACACACAGAACTGTGGGCTTAAAACAAGGGTACTTAGCCAGTCCGATATCGTTTTGTATCTTTGAAGATAAGCTAGAACGATGTTTGTCTGTAAATGATATTAGAAGAATTGAATTACATCCCGACAGATTTCACATATTTATTGATGTTTGCAGACGACATAGCTTTAATATCAGATACTGCAAAAGGTGTACAAAGTTTGAATATGTGCGTGACGATCCGATCTGTAGGAACCTTAATTTAATTTATATTAAGTTTGTCAACCGTTTGCGAGAAGAACAGCTGGTTCGGGGAGAAAAGCTGCGCGTCATGTTTTTTTTGCATTTGGTACGTTTTTGTTATTGTTTTTTTTTTTATCCCTGTAATCTGTTATCGCAATATGTACTCGAATATCGTAGATGGAGTGAAGACTCTATACAAGTGACATATAATTATCGTGTTTTGTGAATCCGGTAAAAAACAGGCATTCATCTAGTAAGTTATGACAAATTATAAAATATGTAATTTTTGGAAACATAGCACGAAAACGAATATGAGTTGCGGGGAACAGGTGTTAGCTTTGCCTTGTTTCAAATTTGTAAATGTCATTATGATCAAAACACTTTTTTCAAGCTCACCATCGTAAAAATATGGTGGAGCTTTTGGTCACTTAGTCGTGTTCAGACTCCGTAAACACGATATGGCACGACCACACGATGTCAATTTACAATTAAGTTGCCTGGCAACTTTCAGGTTTATCTATAATGCAGTTTGATAAAGGTTTAAGGGTCAAATCTGTCATAATTATTTTATCACAAATGACACAAAGGATTTTACACTTATGTGATAAAGATTTAAATGTAGCTTAATTTCATTGACCAGTATCAATCATTAACAGTCACAAAACTGATAGTATGTAGATTTATAATATCTGAATAAATAACTGTATATAACTGCACAAATCAGCATTTTATATTTTTCATTTTAATTTATTTTTGATTAATTTATTAATTTATTAAATTATTTATTTCATTTTTTTCTCTTTTTTATCTTACTTATTTTTATTTATTTTATGTAATTTCCTTTTATATCATTTCAATTTTATTAAGTTTTATTTTATTATTTAATTTTATTTTGCCATATTTAAACTCTTATTATCAATAATAAGATCGTTTGTATTACCTAGACATTTATCTTTCCAAGTAATAGAAAGAGCACCGAAACACGAGGCTATCTGATTTGTACGAGGGGGCGTAGCCCCCGAGTATAAATCAGATTGCCGAGTGTTTTGGTGTTCTTTCTCTTTTGTATCATAGTCAAACATAAAAACACGTTCCCTGCTGTCACAATATGAAACCCCGGGAAAAAGTAACCAATGAACGAGCATCTGAATATGATATTTCTATCGCTTTCCTTTTCTCTTCCGTCACAATATGTAAACCCCAGCAAAAATGAACCAATCAATGGGCACGCTCTGGAGTGCGGGTAACTAATACCCGCACTCCAGTTAACGCACTGTACATGTATATGTATACGATTTAACTCTGACACATTTTCAACAGAAAAGTCCCCAAACTATAATACAATCTAGGTTTAAATCACTCTCTTACAAGCAAAAATATGTTAGACTCTTTTATATGCACTGCAGTATAATACCTGAAGATATAAACGCACGCCAGTCATACAGGTTTACCAATAATTGCGTTAGCCGGAAATATCTGGTTTGCACTAATGATTCATACTTGTCATGTATGTACACGCTTTGTGTTATGTAACAACTACATTGCAATTCATTATTGTACGAATTTAACGTAGATCTGTTTTCCAATACGCGTTCTTAGCTTGTAGAACATAACATACTCGAACGAGTTTATAACATTTTAAACATCTAGATCTTATTCACTTCAATACGTTTTGTAGTCTATTTAGGCCAGGCATACAGGTTTACCAATAATTGCGTCAGTCGAAAATATCTGGTTGGCACTAATGATTCATACTTGCCATGTATACACGTTTTGTGTTATGCAACTCATTATTTTACGATTTTAACGTAGATCTGTTTTCCAATAAGCGTTCTGAATATGTAGTACATATAATATTATAACATACTCGAACTAATGTGTATATATAACACTTTAAACATCAAGATCTTATTTACTTGATCTATTTATATTTGTTCCTATTTGTAAAATACATTTAGTCTAATACCCGTGAAATTTCCACCGACATAGATAATGTTATCTACATCTCTCGTTTAAACAGAAATAACACGCACGAGTGCCTTTGTGTTAAGCTATTTAAACACATGAATGTCCCGCGGATGCATGTCTTGTCAGCGGGGTGTCTGGTTTGATCGATCGATAGTTATCGCATATAATCTACTTTGACACCGTCTTTATCATTGACATGTCTATGCGTCTAGATTCAAATTACCCTTAATACGCATAAATTCATGTCAAGAGTAGAGCTGTTCTCAAGTGGCTGTCACTTGTAAGTTGATAATGAGTATATAGTTTCTTGACGTGTTGAAACAACTTCAAACTACAAGTATAGTATGGTCGCCACGGAGCTAGATGTACAGTATATTAAAAATAAAGAGAGGGCAAAAAAGTGCGAACACGTACGCGGGATGAGCGCGCGCGTAACATAGATTTGTACAAAATGTGTGACAATTGTCATGAATCGAATTTGTGTGTACATTTATATAACGTAATTTTAGTCGTTCCTTTTGAAAATACACGTAAATATACAACTTATACCTGTCTCAATGTTTATGTTACGCTTAAGTTAATACAAAAACTAGTAAATTTCATGTCTGGTTTGACATAACATCGAATTTTTGTGTACACGCATAGTTTCGATGTGTTTTGGCTTACTGCCAAATTGTCAGCCAATCATAAATCATGTTATTTTACGACTTTTTATCGTGTGGCACGTAACAGTTTAACTTTTATTAACTGGTTTAATCTTTTCGTTTCCGTGACAAAATAATGTAAATACAAAAAAAAGATGTAGATCTATTTTCACATTATGTCATGAATTCATGCTACAAAAAGTCTGGAGGGGGGGGGGGTCAGGTAGGGGATAATATCAAAGCGCAAATATCTAAAGAAAAGTTAAATATTTATGCAATTGGAACAAATTGCTACACGAAATACTAGGTCTAGCTGAGTAACCTCGAAATTAAAACGCTTAAAGTTATAGATCTCTAAGACATAATTGATGAACTGCCTAGGTAGCTTACTGTAGCTGGGTTTCGTGAAAGTTTAGGAAAATCTAGACCTACAGCAGCCCCCTTTGGAATATACAATGTCTTGACTAACGCACATTTGTTGTTTATTTCTATGCTTTTGTTTCTTCTCTGTCTGACATTTTGATCAATTTCTCTGGCTGACATTTTTATCAATACGCCTAGAGCAATATGCGTCAATCATTTCAATGATTTATTGGCTGGCAAGACAATGTTATCAGCAATTTGGCTGTCTTCCAAATGATTAATAAGCAAAACTGACAAGAAAAACCGGTTTGTGAGCGGTTCTATCCGGTTTAATCCAGTTCTAGCCAGTTGTAAACTGGATGTATCGGAAAACTATCAGCGCAGTGTGTCAGTGTGCGGCCAAGCGCTTGCAAAGAACGGAGTAGATTGCGCGCTTATCGATGCTATAATTAGAATGCGTTTGAAACAGTAATGGCGAAAACTTTACTTCCGACTCGTGAAACATTTCGCAAATAAACTTAATCTATAACAAAAATGGCAGAGATTCCGGAGAAGGATGTTGAAACTGACAAGAAAATGGATAGTTCTAAATGTGCGAAGTGTAAGGAGGAATTAACTGTTGAAAAACAAGCTAAATTACTCCATTGTTTACATTCATTTTGTCAAGCATGTCTTGAAAATTATTCAACATCCAAGTCGAAAAATGGAAGCGAAGAGTCACAAAAAGACGCAAACGTTGACGGTAGTACTAATCAAATGAAATCTTGTGCAGAAGGTATGTCATTTAATGATGATGAGTTTTTTATTTGATAAAACTTAAAACAACACGGCTATATTCTTATCTATATATAATTATTCTTCTTTAAAAATAAAATTAAAGAAATACAATTTGTTGTAGATTTTATTTGAGTAATTATGTTGTTATAAATGGAAAGTTTTATTTATGTGACATTTGTAATAAGTATGTACTGTAATTATTTTCAATAGAAATCTACAATTTACAAAACAATATTAGAAATTAATTTTAAGGAAATAAGCCATTGCTAGAAGCCAAAAGTTCTAGATGTACATGAGTCACAGACGGCTAGCCTTTGCAGATTGTGTTTAACAGTCGCATCCTGACTTCAAAAAATACACATGTCGTTGTGAATGTCATTCATAGAGATTGACTCAATGATTTAAAGTAGAAACATCTATTGTCAGTCAGCCATGTTTTTATTGTTTTTAAACGAAAAGCACTATGATACTGTGGTATCAATTGATGGCCCTTTTTGGCTTTAGTAGATTTTATTTTCAACAGAATATGATGTCACTACAGTTTCAGCAGATGACCTTCACTTGTTAGAACATGAAATTATTAGTTTAACTGGTAAATATGGGGTAAAATAAAGAAATATTTTAAACACACACGGGCAGCTTTGGGTTTTCATATCAATGAATGAAATTTATTTGAAATGAAAATATTTCTAACAATTTCTATCCTAATTCAAAAAAGCAGCCTTTCCACTTTAATGGTGGAAACAGTGGATTGGTGGCGTGCAGTGTTTAATGAAACACATTTTCTGATTACACCGGAATGGACAAGAACGCGGTACCGTCGAGGAGTACTATATATTTTTTCTAAATAATTTTAGATATGATTTTCAGCCAATTATATTACAACAATATATAGGATAGATCTATCAGAAATAAGTTCACCTTTAATTAAAAAGTTTTCTTGAGCCAATTTAAATTCTGAGGTATTTTTAAGTTATAATCATTAAAAATACTTTGTCATAAACTAGCTTCTGCTGGAAATTGACATGTAATTGTGAAAAACAGGTGCGCTGCATCTGGCAAACAAGAAATCCTTACTGGTATATCCGTTACACTTTTAAATGGTGAGCAAACAACCGGCTTAAAATGTTCAATGCCCACTGAAAGTGTTTGAGATAAAAAATTTCAGTACAAATGTATTCCATTTATATTGTCACAAGTTTACATACATTCATTAGCGTTTTAGGTTATTTATTTTTAAAATGTTATACAGCTATCCTTAACTGTGCATATAGGCTAGTCATACATGACTTGGTTACATATCCCTAGCAATATGGGTTGGGCGACTAGCAACTGCCTTAATAAATATGAATTGGCAGTAGAATCTATTTATTTCATTACAAAATTTTTGAAATTAAACATGTTGATCAATGATGCACTTATTGAACAGGGTACACATTATTACATAAGATCATGTTGTTCTATAAGTTAGACATTTCAGATCATGATACAGATAGGGACAATTTTGCACCAGAACTTGTTATTTAATGGTCTATTTAGTTCATTGTTTAAATAATTTTTTTTTCAAAAAGAGATTATGATATAATGCTATGTTGTGAATAACACAAATGAAATTGATTTAACTTATTTATCCATGAATCCTACAATCAGGGCTGTTAGATCGTGCATCTTCAGTGTTTTTTTTCACTGTTAGGGGAAGGGGGTCGGTGCCGTTTGAAGGGGAAAAAATGCAATAGGAGGGGGAATTTTATTTCTTCACAAATGAGGAGAAACAAAAACGAATCCAATGCATATTTTAATACACCACTTACCACTGTAAGATTTACTTTTGTGTGACATTGTTTTCTTTCCAGTGAGTAGAAAAGGGGAGCAACTCTTGCAACACAAGTTTAAAATATGTCGCTTTTTATGAATATAGGGATCTAAAATATTGACAGCAGAATTTAAAGGGTCGCATGTTAAACTTGTTGGGACGCAGGGAGTAGCTCCCCTTACATACCCGGGAACAATTTGTAAACAACTTTGCTTAACAGTAAGTCTTACAGGCTTAAAATAAAACATTTTTTGGCAGTCACATGCAAAAAAAATGGTATTCATTGCAGGCAAATTTTGGCTGTCATATGGGGGGAAATTTCGGCTTTGAGATGAAAAAAAAACATACTATTTTGAGGGGGAATGGGGCCGAATTTTGCCGAATATTTTGGTGAAAAAAAAAAACACTGATCTTAGAATACAAGACACTGTGATGTATATTTGATAATGCATGTAATTAATTACATTTGTACAATGTAACTGCTGCAAAGTCACGAGTATAGCCACAGACACTTGGAGTGTCGAGGTTAAAACGCCTTTAAAATCCAAATAAAATGTATATTTGTCAATCCCAGTACTTGTACTGATCATATACATGTATATAAAAAAAAACTGAAAATAAGCCGTTTTCCAAAAAAATCATATTTCAACGTCTTATAACAATAATACACAGACACTTTCGGTATGGAGCCTAAAACACCTTTAAAATCCAAATAAAATGTATGTTTGCCATGAACCGACTTTACATACACTTTGTACTTTGTATTCGGGAACAATTTATCAAGTAATATATATCTTGTTTATTTTTACAGTTTCTTCAACTGATGATAGCAAAACAAGATGCCCAGAGTGCCATGTAGAGTATGTTGCAGCTAATGTTCTACCAAATCCATTCATACACACTTCAAAAAAGGTTGATGCTCGAATTGAGGATGGTTCCCCATCAGATGCAGAGAAATTTCCGGTGTGTACGTCCTGCGAAGATAACCAAAAAGCTTCCTCGTTTTGTGTCGATTGCCAAGAATGGTTGTGTGACCCTTGCGTGGTGGCACACAAACGCGTCAAACTCACTAAAGACCACAGCATTTCAAACAAGGTAAAACCCGATGAAGTGAAGGAAGGTATCGTCGGGGACAGTAAGCAAAGGCACGTTCATTGCCAGACACACAAGACAGAAATGCTAAAGTTGTTCTGTCTGACTTGTGAAACATTGACGTGTAGGGATTGTCAGCTGAACGACCATAAAGATCACAAGTACCAGTATATTGAAGAGACGATTGAACAGCAGAAGAAATTACTAATGGAAGGTGTGGCGGCATTGAAGTCAAGGCTAAAAACTAACCAAGAAATGGCTGAAAAAATAACACAGAAAGAGAAAGACATTAAAGATCAACAGGTTGAAGTGTTTAAGGAAGTGAGAAAAGTGGCTGATTTGATAACAAATGAATTAATCAGTTGGTGTAAACAGCTTCTGAATTTTCTTCAAGGTGTTTGTCACGGTAGAATTAAAGACTTGACATTTAAGAAAAAAGAGGTTGATACCTTCGCAAAACGGGCAAAACATACAATATCATTTGTGGAGTCAGCCCTGCAGTCAGGCGATGACTTGTCTGTGTTACACACTAAAAGCTTTATGACTAAAAATATCAAAACTTTACAAGATCAAACAATAAATTTCCAAAATACTTTGCTAGATTTGAATATCAAGTACGAAAATGATGCAAAATTTTTAACAAAGAATGTAAGTAAAATGGGATTTATCAACGTGAACGGTAAATCTTACCCCCAGCAATCCGTAGCTGAGCCGCAGAAACCAGCTATATGTACCCTCAACAACCTTAGCAAAGAAAATTTCTCGCAGCAAATAGCTGAATTAATACATCAACAGCCACACGCAACCAGAGAACAGTATAAAAATCTCCCCGTGGACCGGAAGAAACAGTTTTTAGCACAGTTAATGAGTAATTGTGGAAGGCAAAGGCCAGCTGGAGGTCAGCAGCAAGTAAATTTACAGCAACAACAACAACAGTTACAACAGCAGGCACAAATACAGAATCGCATGGGACAGTTTAACAGTGACAGTGGTGCAGTTCAAGATTTATATAAAGTTCGGCCACCGCAGCCTGTCAGACAGCCGGGACAGTTCTTTCAACAGAACACTTTCCAAACAAATTTGACCAGTACTAGTAGGCATCCACTTCAACAACAACCCTTCAGGCCAGGGCCAAGCCTAGCAACACAAAATTTACAGCACTGGCGAGGTAGATATAAAAAAAAATTACATAATATATATGCAAGTTAATTTCTGTTGGTGTTTAATTTTAATTTTTTACAGGCATTCAAATTCATGAGCTTTTAACTCTTAAAAATTGTATTGCACTAGAAAGCCAAAAAAAAGTATATAACTTTACATAGAATTATTTTTTCATTAGATTTATTACATACATGTTATTGTTTATGCATGAATATTATAAACATGTAATAAAGATTAATTTATGTCTTTTCTTTGAAAATGAATGCCTGTAAAAAGACCTAACATGCATTCTTTAACTGTTTAATGCTAAAACTGTTTGCATGATTCTTTATTTGGTTTTATTTTCTTTTAGTTTTAATTAAGTTTGTAGTGGCATAGCAATCAGTCTTGAGTGGGACTTGTGGACAATTCAAAACAGGTTAATCAGTCAAAAATTAAATTGCAAACTTGTGCACTTTATGTGCATACCCTTGACCTTGAACCCATTTTCTGTTGATTGAAAGGTAACCTATAACTAAGGAAAGTGAACAGAACCAGTCACCTTTTTATTCCCTAATTTAATTATACATTAACTTAATCCTGTGTCATTTACTGTGTAGATGCTTAGCTTTTAAGTTGTAATCAAATTTAGCTTCATCACATGATATAAATGAATTAAGAAATTTTTTAATATTTCTTCCTTTTTTTGTGGAATTTTATATTTAAAAAATGCTGTCATTTATATAAAGCCTCTAACAAGCTTAGAATAATATTGTCATAAATCTGCACAAACTTGAGGGTGTAGCCTGCAAAGTTGACAATATTTTGCATATTTATTTCCTTTCCGAAAGTAGTCTGAAATACAAATAAAATCAATAAGTAGGGTTATGCCCAACGGCCAGCTTCCATTGTGTTGGGAATACCACCAACACTGTCAGAATTAGGAAGAAATTGTCATTACATGTTCAATTGCTGACTCTGCTCTTTAAATTATTATGAGCAAATTAAAGAAAGTCCTTGCATTTTGTATAAGGCTAATTTTAAACTGAAATTTGTACCAATTACCCTTAAAAATCTAAACTATTTTGTATTTCCCTGTTTCTGAAAACAGCTCCCCCTGTCAAACGATCTACTTTGGATATATCTAAGTTTTCATATCTGAAATGATAATAATGGACATTGTCTTTATTATGATATGATTTTACATGAAATGAACTGTTATGATATTTCCAACACTTGTGTATAATTAATATTATTTTAAACATATTGTTGTTATTTTGAATGCATAGTCTCTAAAAGTAAGTGTTTCAATTGAATTGGTATTTTGAGTGATTAGTGCCCATTGAAATGAAAGTAAAAAGTATGGTAAATGTGTCTGTGTTTCTATTCAGGAACAAGACCTCCGCAGCCTGGTTATCCCAATGCTGACATTGGTTTTGGTGTATCTTCTACTCAAAATTGGCAGGATGCTTCGTACAATTCTCTGCAAAATCTGATGTCTTTTAGCAATGGAAACATTGCCTCTTCCTCTACGTACCTACCTCAAGGTTGGTCGTGTTCTGTGTTGTATCATCAGAGTAGAAAGACTACTAAAAAATTAATTACACATATATTTAGGTTGTTTTAACCTGACAGTGCTGTCAGTACTTTGATTTTGATATTTTAGCAAAACGTAAATGTCTAAGAATAAGCAATGATGTATTGTTGATAATCAACAAAGCTATATGAGTTTAATAGGGGTATGAAGCATTCATGAAAGACTTTGAAGTTTAGACAAATAAGGGTAACAGTTAACTTCTCAGATTTACGGGTCAGAATGTGTGAAAGGCTGTTAGTTCCCGAACGTCTGACGGGAATAAATCAGCAGACCTTCGCTAAGATAGTCATATTGCTGCTTGCCTGAGAGAATTCTGTCTTTGTCAGGAGACGAACCAAATCTGATGAAAGTGAAAGAAACTTAGTCAGCCAGCGACCTTACTCATTCAGTCACAGATTCCTATGCCCTTAACACTTATCATGCTTCACAGATTCCTATGCCCTTAACACTTATCATGCTCAAGCCGAAAAGAAACTTGAAGCATTTGTCACCGTTATTGAGCAAGGTCAGCCTGCATGTTTTTGCAGTCTATCCAAAAAAATTGATTACATTGACAATAAAAAACAAGAAAGCTGGACAAATTGATTTAATAAATTCATCAATTAAAGTAAATCAGTTAACTTTGATGTCTGATACTGAGTGATGTTCCAAATCCAAAATAGATTGTAACTTTGTACGGCTTTTTACCAATTTCAAGAAGAAAATTCCCAAGTCAAGGAAGAGACATCAAAAAAAAAAATCATTTTCAATTGGTGACATCTGGAGCAATCTGTGCCACAGCAAATTGCTTTTTGCATTCCATATTTTGAAATCAGTGAACCACAAGAAAAACAAAAACTCCCCACAAGTCAAGTTGTTGCAAGATTTAACTGCCAGTTGTCAGTCTGTTGCATGTTTGTTTTTTCTGTTTGATTATTTGATAGTCTATGATTGCTTGCACTTTTTTATTTGCTCTCATGTACTTTGTGTTTTGTTCTTTTCTTTGTCTTTATAGTTTCTTTTTGAAGCATATGGTTATGATGAAAATATCTTTTGTAGCTTTCCAACAAGCTGTTACATACTACAAAGTACATGCATTTTTGTTTTCACAGGTGTGCCAATCTTGCTGTGATTTTTTTTTGTCTTTTCTTGTTATTCTTCTTTTTGTAACTCTACTTTGCTTATAAATGTTACTTGTAAAATTTGAACTTTTTATATTTAATGGTATTGTTTCAAAATTTTATGTAACGTGGACTGTTTTATCAAATTCTTAAGTTTCCTGCATAAGTTTCCTGCACTGCTTTTAATTTGCAATGTAACAGTATTTATTATAATTATGTAAATACACTGTTCTGTCCAATATTTATATTATACACCATGTAAGTTGTCATTTAGGCTACACCATTTCAGCCTGAATAGTGATTTCACAAATTTAAGGTTTAAAAATAACAATCTTTTGCAAAATTCACCTGCAAGGGTTTAAACATAACTTCTTTTTTTCTTTTGCAAAATTGGTATCTTGTTTTGTCTAAAAACAACCAAGTTTACTTATGTTTTTTCTTTGGAAGAAATTCATCTTTTGATATATACTATTCATTCTCCCAGTTATCTCTCTAAATTATTAATGGTTTTACTGTTGATTACTTTTTCAGGCAGTGCCGGTCCAAACAATTCTGCAGTATCATCGTCCTTAACAAGGCCGAATTCCAATCCAAACCTCATTCCAGGGAACAAGCTCCCCCCAGGAAAATTTGAGTATGTTATTTTGTCATTTTAAAACGCAACCAGTGCAAATTAGTTTTAAAGTCTTCAAAAATACATTGAATTTTTTTTCTTCAAAATCTTACACAATTAACATTCAGATGTGATATAATGGTAATCAATACCAATCTCAAGGGATTTTTTTTAGCTGCTATTGCTTGGTGAACTATGAAAAATGAATTATTAGTTTATAATATACAAAAATGTTCAGCCAATTTGTTTATTAATAATGTATCATAATAAATCAAGAAAAATGAATTAACATTTAAAGTTATAAGCATAACAAATTCTTTAAAAGTAGCGACAAAAGTCTGTGTCTAGATATATTGTGAATTGGATTTAGATAAATTATAATTAATCAATTTATAATTCAGACAGGTTGTAATCAATATTTCAATCTAAAACTTTGGGGTTTATTATCTACATTGTATACTACCTTGTAGCACTAGCAGTTTGAAAAATTGATTCATTGTTAGATATTAAATATTTAATGATTTAGATTTTAATCAATTCAAGTTTTTTTGTGTGTGATTTGGTAGGTTTAAAGAGTATTTTCGTCCTATATTGGTTGATAAACCTCACCGGTTTTCCTGGATAACTTTTAAGCCAGTAATTACCAGTTTCTCTACATGTGACAAAGTTCTTATCTGGCATGAATTAGCATTCAGGGATAAATGACCATCAGATTCAATGTCCAAGATCGATCGTTGCAGAAAAATATCATGCACACGAAACAAACCTGTATCTCTGAATTTTACAAATTTTTGCAGATCTCTCCTGAATTAGTTACCATATAATTATAATATTATATATAACTTTCTGGAGCAAAGAGAAAATTATTCAATCTAATTGTTGTTCTATGATTCACAAGCATTTATAAGAACTGACATCAGCGGATACCCACAGCCGAACCATTTGCATAAATTTATCAGGTTACATGTTGATCAGCCATGAGTACATGTATCTCAGTTGGAATATTGTTTGAAGAAAACCTTCTGCCAGATGATGATAGTGAATGTAAATAAAGTAAGTATAACCAACATCAGAATCATCATTTTAATTGTATATTTACAGTATAGATCCGTTAAATCTACGAGGAGGCAGTGCAGAACCTGTGAGAGTCAAACAAGAACCAAAAGACCGGGACTTCAGTTCTTGCCAGTTTTCCAACAGACCACCTAACCAAACAGTATGATATTTTATGTTTTATTCAGGAATGATTTAGATTGCATTAATGTGGGGCTGGGGGGTGTCCTAAAAATACAAATATATAAAGTTTTTATCCACACAAAAAATTAAATATATATTTGAGTGTTTTGTATAAAGACGCACTTCCATGACAACAAGGGCATTGGATACATGTACATTGTTTCATTTGAGGTATTAATGTAACATAGTGAAGATCAGTGGTTCTATTCAATCAAACAATAATTAAAAATGTGTGTTATTTAAATGAGGTTAATTCTAAGCAGTCTGTAAATTTTGGGCTGTAAAAAAATAAACTAATAGTAGATACTGCAAACTAGCCCAAATATGTTTGACTGTACAAGTCAGTTACTTATAAATAAGAATAACTGTTTCTGATATTTAAGGTTAACTTCAGAATTATCTAATATACATGTATTTTAAACTTACCTTACTATTATGTAGCTTCTCAAAAATTATCAGTTAATTATTTGTCATCTTCATTATTTGTCATCTACATATCATGTCAACTTTAAATCCTTATCATTGACTGCAGTGTTGCATCTAGAATTTCAAAATTATGGGGGATTGTCCCCCACTCAACTAAAAAATGTGGGGGACAAACATTTACCTTACACTATGACTTATCGAAAAGAATTCATTTATTTTACGTTCAGGCATTTTTGACAGCTATCGTCCGCTCAAAAACGGAAGTAGAAAAAATAAAATATTGACGAATACTACAAAACACACGCGAGATGACCCAGTCGGCTGCTACACGCTTTTTAGTACGTACTTTAGTCATTACCACGAGTGAAAACAAACATGGCCGAAGCTTTCAAGACACGATGAAGATAAACTGAATAAAGTTAAAAAATTGTCAGATGCGCGACTTGGCGCGCGTTGACTTCATTAAAATGCGCGATCTGCATAAAATATGCGCAAATCGCGCGGCCTAGATGCAACACTGTGACTGTAATCAATAACTGTTTGAATGTTGAACTTTATAATCATATCATATTGAACTATTTTTCAGACACCCAAACCTCCAGATCACAACCCAAGATTGCAGTCTCCATCTACCAGTACGAATCACCATTCCCCGGGCCACACACCCAGTCCTAGTCATTCAGATGGAGGGCCTGGGGCTGCTCATCGTTCCTCAATCTCCCCAGCCATGCCAGATATTAATGTAAGTAGGACTTAAACTTGAGAAATGAATCTTGTTTTTGGCACACCGTAGTAAACATTGCATGACCAAGAGGTTAACCAGTCAGACTAGTAGTCTGTTTGTTGCAGTGTTGGTTCAAACCCTGCCAGGGAAAAAGCCATTATTTCCTCGAGCAAGAAACTTTACACTCATTCCTTAGTACTGGTTGGTGTCAGGAATGAATAAAGAGTGTTTCAGTTTATAGCTTTCAGACATAAACAAACTGAAATAAATTCATATAATCTGAACATTGCTCAATTTAAGATATAACATGATCTGCTGATAATTTTAGTCTGTTTGTTAATATTTTTCACTATTAAAATCATGTGGTTGAGTTGATGTCATATGCAGCTTTGAGGAGTTTTTGTTTGCTTCCATGGATGTTTATCTCTGTAATGATTTTTTATATGAGGAAGCTCAGTTTAGCGAAATTACTGATCATTACTGATTGATGTTGATACTTGAGAGTAAAGTGCTTATTATTGTTTGAAATTTTATGCTACTCCATATGTGCAGTCTTCCTTATGATGCAGTAAAAAGTGTCATTGTGTAGTTTAAATTTTGCAAAATGACTTGAATATGGAAATTCTGTATAAAAAGTTCGCTTTTTTTCCATAATTTAATATTGTCATAATTACAAAGAACTTCAGTACAACATTCTTTGATAATTTCTTCATTTTTATAGCCCCTTTTTTGCATGCAAGGAAATACTGAGTTGATGTATTTAATTGTTTATTACAACAGATAATTGACACTGACCGCAATGAGCTTCTACAGGGATTGGTCAATCCTAGTGGTCAAAGGTTGAATGCATATCACCTCCAGCCGAAGCACGATCCCTCTGACCCATCGGAAGATTACTGTGCCGTGTGTCACAATGGAGGGGACCTGTTATGCTGTGACAAGTGCCCGAAAGTATTCCATTTACAGTGTCATGTACCGGCTATAAGCACCAACTTCTCATCAAAGTGAGTACCTTTCTAAATTCTATAGTTCTGGTTGTATTTTCAGTTGTTGACATATCTTTTCTTGAGTATTTCACAATTTTTAGACTGTTACAGCACAAAATTAATTGTATGAGAGGAACAATGAATGATATTAAAGTAATAATATTGTTTATATTGTGAAACATTTTGTACATATATTATCACGACAAAAGTTCCGAATTCAGTGTAGCTTCATTTGTGGCAATATGAATAAGCTACTAGTCGAGAAAAGTTCAGATAAATTACATGTAGTATGTCCAATGTGTATTTATTTGTCTAATATGGTTGCTGGAGATTTGAAATATTTTGTCTTTTTTTTTGTCTTCATAAAATGTAAGTGAAAATATACCACAAAAGAGTAGGGATCATAGAATTTTGATAACATTGTAAACTTAGAGTTTACACCATTAAGTTTACCATTACCAGTTTGTTTTTGTCAATCTTAAATTGAAAAAATATTCAATTGACTGAACACAAAATTGTTTTATAAGATTTAATTATTCATAGACTTCATAAGACCCCTCCCCCCCTCCCCCGCCCTTTATAGAAAATGTACAGGTTCTGATTGTTCTTTTAGCTCAGGGGTGTCTGTGGCTGAATGGTGAAGGTTTTTGACATCACACCATTTTCTGCTCACCACTGTGGGTTTGAATACCGACATAGACTTTGGGTTCTTCCATGTGAATAAGCTATCCAGCTTCCGTATGTAGCTTGTGGAATGTTGGTGGAAATAATCCACAGAAGGGCACCCAAGGTCTTCATCCACTAGTAAAGTTGAAAAGTCGCCATATGGCCTATACTGTGTTGTTGCGACGAAAAACCCAACCAAAAGAAAGAACAAAAAAAAGAGATGAAATGATTGTTACAAATCAAAGCATTAAAAAGCAGTTGTTAAGGTTGTTCATTTAAGCATATACCAAGTTTATAATGTTGCAGTAATATAAATCTATCAATATGTTAAATTTAAGGTCCTTTGATTGCAAATTTTCAGGCATCCTCATTAATTTGATACTTAACAGGTACATTTATAATTATTCCTCTTGGCTTTTGTGCTTTTTATGTAAACGTAAGGCTAGACTCTCAATCTGATACGAATGCTTGAACTTGTTCAAATAGCCTGTGCCCCTCGTCTATAAAAGATATCATATCTTGGACACAATAAATAAACATTCAACCTCGTATAAAAATGACACTTAAAATCAGATTGCTTTTTATTTCCCATTAATTGTGAAGGTAATTTTTGTCAGTAGTATTGCTTTTAATTGTCCCCTTGGCTTGTAATAGTCATTTTTGATCAGTTTTTTACCTTCAAAAAGGACCCAGCATCATTTCCAAAAATGCTGAGTATAGAAACTCTGAAACTATTTATTGAAGAGCAAATTACTAGCAGGTTAAGATTACCTGCAGCTTTTAATCCTTACTTTACCTAAATTTGTATAATGGATTAGTCCTCCCTTGACTTTGGAGCAGTACATTGTTATTTAATGGGAAATATACAATAATGCAAACTGCTGAAATTAATAATCAACCAGTGGTAACTGTAGAGTCTGGGTGTACAGGCCGGTCAAGTTTCACACTGGTGCCATAAACAAGTAATTCCTGCAAGCATTCCAACTGTGAACGCCACACTTCACTACAAATGAAGATCATGCAATGAGACATTCGTTAGTTCTAAACCTAAAACTTGACTTTACTTTGTAAGGAAATATTAAGTATCAATCTTAATAGGTAAAAATTTGATCTTTAAATGTTCCATAATTGTCTTTTTACTACCAGTTTGTGTTAACATGATTTCCATTTAGCTTTGCAAGCAAATTGCATCAAGGGGAATTCTGAATAATGAAAGCTTTTGGGGAGAAAGAAGGAAATAAAAATTAATCGTGAAATTAAAAGATAAAATGATAAACACTTAAAAAAAAAACATTGCTAATTTTCCGTCATTTTCAACTTCAGACGAGGGATCAAACAAAAGAGTTACACATTTGCCTTGTTACATCCACTAGCAGAAGCTAAATGGTAGCTATTATATATATGTTACAGTAACGTGTTTATTTTCCTAGATGTATCGCTCGAGTCTTTATGTAACTAGCTAATTTGTTCATTACATTTCGTGGGCACATATTTTTTACCATGGTATATTAATTTAGTTATTACTGATTGTTTTTCTCTTCTTTTTTTATGTGTTTGTCTATGTGTATGGTAAACGTACTTTCTCGTATTATATAGTCAGTTTCATACAGGCTGCAATTCAGATATTTAAAAAGTAATTTTAGCTACATCTAAAACAGTTATTCAAAAAATATTCTTGGTTTTGGGTATTTTACCCACAAATACATCTTTCTGTACCCTCTGAAAGGGGTAAATATTCAACACTTTTAATTCCCCAAAGTTCTTTGACTAAAGGTTTAGTTATGTTCCTTAGTAAGAGAAAACGATCAGTAATTTATATTTCATGATCTTGTATCTTAGTTTCTCAGACAAAATTTTCCCACAAGGGCATCAAAACAATAGAATCAAATATCCGTTTACATAGGGAACTTGTGGCGTGTTGAGTGAAGGAAAAAAGCCATTGTAGAAACAAACATACCTGCTCAATATTATTTCATAAAAATTTATGAGACACAATTATTGCCGAACACTTCAACATCCATTTTGACACCTTGGTCTTTTGGTCAAGGCAGCAGATTTCAAATATCACTCTCCCTTAACCAATATTTGTTAGAATCGGGATTTTTCATGTGAGAAAGTTATCCTTGCGTGTGGAAGGGCAGTGGTTCTAGTCAGGTGCCCTTTCATGCCTGAAATAACACATAGTGATACTACCGGCAGGTTAAGCTGGCGTCACAGTTTATGTGTGAATTATTACTGCTCCCACCCCCACAAAAACAATTACATATATATAGAGAAAAAAAACTTTAAAAAGTTCTATAGTACGTTTACTGTATATTTATCTAATGCCATTCCTTGACACCAGTTTAACAGAAAAAAGCTTTTTTTTTGGCTTTTTTCATTTTTTGCTGCACCCACTATTATTTATGTTGTTACAGTCCTTTTGCATTTTGATCTTTTTATTGTACAAAACTCCAAGAAGAATAGACTCTGAACAAAAAGGAAAACAGAAAAAAACAAGCTTTTATGATTGGGACTGGATAGATTGGGGGGGGGGGGGGCAAGGATGAAACCAAGCTTGAAACCTTTAAAGGAAAAAATATTCAGTACTATGCACAAAACTTTTGTAACTGTTGTAAAAACATATTTTTGCATGTAATATGTTTTTATGGAAGACTTTATGGTTCTCAGAGATAAGAAGCTAAACTGTATATAGTAACTTTGGCATTTGAAATAAAGCATATGTGTAGTAAAGGAATGGTAATTTTCCTGCAGATGACTGCAGGGTGGCAAACCTGACTTAATATTATTGTTCAACATTATAAAAAATTAATATTTCTTATCCGTGCACTGAAGGAACAGGGTGGGTTGGAGGGGATGAGATGTGTAATGCAATTTTCTATCTGAGGGCAAGCAATTTTATATATATATATATCCTATGACAGGAATTTACTGTTTAAGGGCACGCTCTTTGCTCTCTAAGAGCGTGCAGTTTGTTGTTGCAGGCAAGCAATTTGATATCTCAGTGCAAGAAATTTGCTGTCTCTGGGCAAGCAATTTGATATCTCATTGCAAGCAATTTGCTGTCTCGGTGCAAGCAATTTGATATCTTATGACAAGCAATTTGATATCTCAATGCAAACAATTTGATATCTCACGACAACCAATTTGCCTTCTCCGGGCATGCAATTTGATATCTCATGGCAAGCAATTGATATCTTACTGCAAACAATTTGCTGGCTCAGGGCTAGCAAATTGATATCTCACGGCAAGCAATTTGTTGTCTCAGGGCAAGCAATTTGATACCTCATGACAACCAATTTGCCTTCTCCGGGCATGCAATTTGAGATCTCATGGCAAGCAATTTGCTGTCTCAGGGCAAGCAATTTGCTGTCTCAGGGCATGGTATTTGATATCTCACGGCAAGCAATTGATATCTTACTGCAAACAATTTGCTGTCTCAGGGCTAACAAATTGATATCTCAGGGCAAGCAATTTCCTATATAATGGCATGCAATGTCTTTACAATGCCAATCTCTCACATGATTAGCTAAATTGTGTCCATCCTCAGGCCTCAACTGCAAAATTGGTAAAGACACTGTGACGAATTAACTAATTATAGCATAGATATTGTGGTTATTAAATTTTGCTGTTAATATATTTAAAATAAAGATAAATATTTTGTTAGTTATTGGATAAACCTGAGAACCATATTGTTGAAAGTTATGTAGATTCCTTATATTTTTATAACAAGAAAAATAGAGATGCTGAAAAAATATTCAGAATGATTTATTCAGTAAACTAGCTGTTTGTTCTCAGTTCTCCAAATGGATGCAAAATTTTTCACTATCTTCATGTCAACATGATCTGTAGTGGTTTAAAGTTTCATCACCATCTGCACTGTTCACTATACAGTATTTATTTAGGAATTTTTCATAAAAATAATGAATGGTTTTGTCCAGATTGAAGGATAGACAAGTTCATTTAAGATACGTATATAGTGTTGTTCGGATTAAATCAAGTTTGTTGTTAAAATTTGTAGATACGTATTTTATTTTCAACTTTTAATTGGTATCAAAACCATTGTGTGACTTTAACAACAAATTGAGCACAATTTTAGATAGGATCAAGGCATCTCTATTTGTGGGACAAATTTTTATATTATTACAGTTATGTATGTAGTTTAGTTATTGACTGAAAATTGCCTTTGCTTTTGAATCATTTCTAGAATTATCTTTTGTAAAATGTAATGTTGTTTTTTCCTACCTCCCTAGTGTTCACAGATTGATGTAAAATCAGAATTTTTGTAAGGGCACTAATTTTGGTTTTTGATAAGTTAGTCATCAATCCAAAAAATTAAGATGCAGTGAAATTTCATTGCAGATCTGGTGTAACATTATTTTGCATTGCATTATTTGCAAATTGCTCTTACAAAAATAGACAATCTAAGAATTTAAGAACCCAAGAAAATAACATTTTTAATACAACCACAAAATTTCATGCATGCAAAATTAAGTGAATTCACAGTGTTATTTTTGCCCTCTTTAGCCTACTTTATTTTTGCATGGGAGTTAAGCAATTACATGGTACATATACAAGTTATGATTACAAAAGACAAAATTAAAGTGCTTTTCATTAACAAACCAAACATAACCTTAAAATGACAATTGTGTTGACTTGTATAGTGCCCCCTGTAAGTTATTTATTTCCTCCAGATTATGAAATTGATAAGATTCGGGTTAATTTTATGGGGATAATACTCAAATTTGAGCTGTATGATATTTGCTTTGAAATTTCAATTCTGCAGGTGTTATTGTTTAAATGCTAGCATAAAATCAAAATGAAATTTATTTATTGCTAAAAGTGAAATGCTTGTTCTAAATAATTAATAACAGAATGTCAAAAATTCCCAATAGTTGCATTCCACAAATTAAGCTCTCAAGTACAGTAACAAATTGTACTTAACTAACCAATCATAAGTCTCTTAATTTGTTGGTATGAAAACCTGCCAAAAACCATTTCAGCTCAAGAGTTTTACAAATTTGTTGTCACTTGGTGTCACATATAGAATAACAGCTGACACATTTACTTGGCAGCAACTTGCAAAATAGAAAACCAAACAAATATCACAGGTCTGACAGTTTTCAGATTAAGTATATAATCCAAGATAGCATGGCTTTTACCTTGCTAGTTTTTAAAGATAAAATCAAGACAGCAATTGTTTTGCTTGCATTGTAAAATAAACAATTAACATAATATTTTACATTGCATCTTACACAGAGTAAATAAAAAACTATAAGTAAGGTCATTAGATGAATAGAATAACTGTCGAAATTGCAACATAAGATTTGAACAATTTCACCTTTCCAAGAAAAAAATTGTATGATAATACTGGTTTGCAAAGGTATTGAAGCTGCTTGTTTGTTCTGTTCTAGATCTATGCTTTAAATTCGCAATTATCTTAAAATGAGGCTGTGCATTGTTACATTATATCATTCCTCTTAATGTTCTGTATCTTCTAAATTTTTCTGTTAAAGTATTCTGCTGTGTTGCCTCACCTTTGATTCCTTTCCCCTGAATTAGAGGGAAATCACATACTAAAATTACTGTTAGGTATTGATTTTAGCAATTACTGAACATCTAGGCTAAATTACCAAAGTGATAACAAAAGAACCCATGGCTGTGTGATGTGACAATTCCCTTGTTGAAATCTGTGGTTTCTTATTGATTTTACTAAGTTAACTTGCTGCAAGTTTTGCTGGAAACATTATTGGGAAGCTAGTTTTCTCCAGTTACTGGCTGACATTGTTTTCTCTCCTGCAAGCAACAAGGTAACAGCAGTGTTTGGGGTCATGTCTGGAGGACTTTCTGTAATTACTGTTAAGGTATTGATTATTGGGTTTTTACTGTCAGACTGTCAGGTCTCTCCTGGTGTCACATGGGGGGAATATTCTAGCTTCTTGGAGAGAGAGAGAAAATGTGAATAATACTTGCCATGTCTGAATGATCTTCTAATCTGTTTTGGAATGATTTATTTACGTTACTTTGAGACCATGAATCTTATTCCCAGGCATCAAGGTTCTGTAGTAATGTTAGATTCAATGTCATTTGTTAGGCAGGGTTTTACATTTATGCAGAAATGATTGAGGCTGCAGTAAATGTTCAATGTCATGTCATTTGTTAGGCAAATGTATATTAATATATCTGTCAAATTTAAGTAATTTCCATATTTCTTTTGTGGTATTATATTAAATTGGTTTCAAATGCTTTTTGTGTCCTGGATTGATAGATAGGAAGGGTATATTGTTATTGGCTTGCCTGTTTGTTTGTCTTAAATCTTAAACTGTAACCATAACAGAAAAGTCATTACACCACCAGCCCTCTTATTATGTTCTGATCACAAAAACTAAGTTCAATACACTTAGCATTCATTCGGATTGAGTGCTTGTTTGAAGATAATTTAATTATTTAATAAATGATCATTTTCTGTTAGTTATGTTTATAATTTGATTTCTCTATTAGTGATGTTTATAATTCAATATACAATGTACATGGTATTTCAACATTTGATCTTGAAGGAACTTGGAATTGATGCACCGTTATTGAAAATAAGGATTAAACTTGTATTTGTTAATGTATGGTTCGTTGTAGTAGCCTTATAACTTCATGGTCATATGTCTGAAACTTTATGTTCTTGTGTCTTAAAATCTAATGTTCTATGTCTAAGTCTCTTCATTCTTGTTTGAATGATTAATGTTAACTGTCAGGTCCTAGTTATGCTGTAATGAAATGTGATCATTTACCAATAATGTAGGCTGTCAGTTACCCTAGGACAGCTTGATAGCTTATATCCCAGTAATGTACCATTTCATGACATTATTGATAGATCATTCAAGGCTGTCACCCATGGCTAGTAATTTAAGTGTTTATTCACACACTTTTACCTGAAAATTAATTAAAGACACTTCAGTCAGAGTCATAATGTCTGACAGGAAAGTCAATTACATTTGTGTATTTGGATCTGATACTTTAAATTGATTTTTTTTTCTCACCCTTGTGTAAATTAAAGGGTCCTCTTCCACCAAAAATTGAAACTTTATTAGAATGATGTAAGCTAAATTGGGAAAACCTTTGAACTCAAGGCATAGGAGAATGACTTTGATATTACCATGTATTTTAAGACTTTTACCCGTTCAATGTGAAGTAATAGACCACACCATAATACAGCTGTGGTGTAGGACACCTGGGTGGGAATTTTGTTTAGGTTTTTTTATTTAAATAAAAAAATATGTAGATTAGAGTATGCCTTTGTGGTTTTGTTCATTCTATTATTAAGATTTGATTTTTTTGCAATATGCATACTGGTATTTAACAATTATATAGGATTGTAGACCCTCTACTAGTGGTATATTTTCATTTTCATAGTTCAGTCGTTTGCATGACTATCTATTGTATCCCTGCTGTGTCAATTTTTTGCCTCAAGTCTCTGTTTTGGGGTGTTTTTAGTTGTTGTTGTTCTTTTTTTAAAAATTATCATTATTGTTACCAAATTATGCTGTTTTGCAGAATGTGAATGCATTCCCCCTTTCTTAGCAGAATGAATTAGTAGCATTACAATTAATTTGAATAAACTTTTGTTGAGATCAGATTCATAATTAAATGATACTGAATGTAATAAGAAATTTTCTACATCTTTGTTTTGTCAGTTATATATTACATAATTTATATTTTGTGTTTTTGCTAAAAAAAATTGATCTGACATACTGACCTTCTACTCTTTACAAATTAGCTTGAGAATTTATTTGTTGTCAAAGTGTTAGAAATGATGAAACATATTTTTAGAATTTTTATAGGGCTGTTTTTATTATTATTTTATATAAAGAAAATAGTTAAATTATAAGTTAACCAAATATATTTCATTAACAATTTAGTTAAATACATTAAAAGTATCATTTATTTGAAGGGAAAAAAGAAAAAAATTGTCAAAATATTGTAATTATGAGAGATATTCTATAAGAAATTTATACATGCTTTTTTCAGTGAAGTATGGACATGTACATTGTGCTCGGCAGATGAAGAATTGAAGATCAAGTCTCCGATACCCAAAGAGTACGAGGTGACGAGCACTGGCAAGCGGAAAGCACCAAACGGACTTGTTGACAAGGAGATTAAGGTATGAATATGGCTCTTTAAGTTTTCGTGCAAAGTCATTATTGCTTTAGATAAATGCTGCTAGCTGACAGTGGATTACTGTATAAGTTGATATTACTGCGTGTCGAAAAGTTAGCGAATTTAAAATACCAGACATTTCTTGTGAAGAAATATTAACAAATTGTGCAAGGGTAGAATTTAATTAAAGATTATATCTATCATATGCTAGTGGAAATTTTTTGCGAGTTTCGTCTGTAGGCGATTGTCTTTTCAGATAAATGTTTTTGGAAGTCTTTGGAAAGTCTTTATATTGCTATTGCAATGTTGGTGAAATTCAAGAAAAATATATAGATGAAAAAATTCAGCATTACCCCGGTAGTTCCATGTTGTAATATAGACTTAATTCAATTTTTAGATATCGATTTAGTAATAACATTTAACTCCGTCTTGGATCTCAATATATTTGAAGAGAAGAAATGCTAAATATAGATTTCTATTCTTTCGTAGGTATGTGAGAGGATATTACTGGAGTTATTCTGTTTGGAGATCAGCACAGTGTTTCATGAGCCTGTTCCAAAATCGGTAAGAAAATGAAAAAGACTTTTGAAAATTTATCAAATCTTCCTAAAAAGTTTTGTGATTGACTGATAGTTTAATGACTTCAATAGTTTGTGATTGAGACATGTTTTTTTAAGTTATAAAATTCATATTTGAAAATAGTCATTCTCTATTTCCACTAAACTTAAAGGGAGTTAATTTGTTAAGATCACTAACTTCAATTTATACATGTATATCCCTTGATGCTGTGGGTTCAAATCGCACCAGGGATATTAAATTTTTTCTTCTTGTGTGGCATGATAATGAAAATTAAAAAAACATCAAATATTAAACATTCTTAACATGTGTTCTTTTCTTTCAGGTCCCGAATTACCACAAGATCATTAAAGATCCGATGGATTTTGGAGCCATCAAATGCAAGCTTCGTAGAGGGCATTTTGCCCATTACAATTCAGTAGAAGAATTTCTATCCGACATCAAGCTTGTGTTTCGAAACTGCTTTAAATACAACTCTGAAAAATCAGATGTTTATGCTGTAGGAAAATCAGTTCAAAACTATTTTGAATCGCTCGTGAAACATTTCTTGCCGTGTTATGTAGACTACCTCAGCAGGCGCACGCCTAGTCCTGTCACAACAATGGAGTCAAATGGAACTGACGGGCAGAGTCGCAATAAGAAACGCAGAAGTCCGGCACCAGACTCTACAAGGGATAACAATAGTCCAGTCCATTTTTCTTGAGAATAGAAAAAAAATGACTTTAATTTTGATGAAAAATGAAATTTCGACATACATGTGCTTTTTATCCCCCTTTATTAATACACAAATATATTATTGACATTCCAACTTACTACTATGAATTTAATAAGCTGCGCTGGTAATAATGTGCATAATTTGTATTCAATTTGGTTTTTAAGAAAGAATGTGAAGAAATTGAATATTTATCCATTTTTGATCCAAACAATTTCTGTATGACTTGTATAAATGATTGTAAATAATGTCTAGTCAGCTATTGTGTTGCCACTGTTAGATTGGTTCAATATTTAACCTTTAACCTGCTGAATTTGTGAAATGGACTCACCCTGATTTGAATTTAGAACAGTCCATTCAAATAATTAGGGATTTCAACATGAAATTGCAAAAATTTTGATTAACCAGCAGACTCAGGCTGACAGACTGGGTCTATTCTGATGACAAAGGCTAAATCATTTTTTTTTTTGCTCCAGCAGGTTTTAGGGTTAAGCATTGGAAATATCAACTAATCTAAAAAGTGGGTGTTTGTAAAATGTGCTATATTATTGAGTGACTTTTGTATAATAGCAAGGTGATATTAGTGTAATACTTAAGTGACTTGTGTGTGTTCTGCCAAGGTTGATATTGGTTCTTTCTGTAAACCCACAGCAGTATAACTTATTGCTAGATAACTTTCTCAAAACAAAAATGAGAAGATATTAAATAAAAAAAAAATACGCAGTTATTTTACCACTGGTTCAATCTGAAATTTTCATTGACAAACTTAAAACTTTATAAAGAGCACTGTGTCAGATATATGTATAATGTATAAAGTTTGTGGTCAAGTGACATTTCTAAGAAAACAAATGTTTTATCGAATTTTTTTTTGTGTTATGGTAAAAGTGATATTAATTATATGGTAAAGTGAAGTTTGTGTATTAATGCCAAATATTTATATTGACAGTGTAAAATGAAATTTTGAACAGCAGTATAAAATCAATAGTTCACGTTGACTGAGCAACAGAAACTTCCAAAATATTTCTGAGATATGTTCAAAATAATGGAATGTAGTAAGAAAACAAACAAAATGTTATGTCTAATTTGATTGTTAGTGTAAGACTGGTATTTTTTTGTTAAGAAATAGTAGGTTACTTATAATTCAATAGTTTAGGTTTGTTGCCCATTTGTCAAGAAAAGTGTGATTAATACGTTTTAATGCCATTTTTTGTATTGTCTGATTTATTTAAAAAGGGTTTGTTTTTTTTTCTATTAGAGTCTATGAGTTTTTTTTAGTTGTTTGAAATTCCAGTTATGTTAGATTAAATGTGACAATACCATGAGGTTTTTGGCATCATTTAAGCTACCTGAAGCTATTAATATCTGCTTTTTGCTGGGGATTTTTGTACTCTAAATAAAGGCAAGACAAATCTGCTTGTAACTAAAATGGACTTCATATACCCCCACAGTTCATTTGCTACAACAATTCTAGGAGTAGGTTTTAAGTAAACAGTTTTTTTATCAAAAAATTAAATATCCACTTACAAAAAGAGGTTTAGCACTTCAGTTTGAAAAAGAATGTGATAGTGATACTTTTATCATGCGGGTCAAACATTGATATATAACTCTATATAGTCGTACCCTCACAAATATATGTACGTGATTAAATTGTTAAATGTACTACATTTTTATATATATACTATTATTTCATTTGCTCTTATTTATACTTTATTAGATTTTTTCAGTTCAGTTGTTGAATTCAAGAAAATTGTATGTTGTTCATACAAAATTGTTCAGTATGAATGCAGTATTTTGGTTATTAAGAAGACTTGACTTCATAAGTCTTTTGATTGTAAAAACAAAACAAAAGTGCTAATTTAGCAATAAAATTTTTAAACTTCAGATGTGTTTATTTTCATTTTCTCTTTTACTTTAGAGCTTAACATTGTGCACAGTTGAACAGCAGAGGTTTGTGAATGCAACATTTTTTATTTAGAAAACTATTTTCTGAACTGTGGTTGTATGCATAGTAAAATTAAGCCGTCTTGGAAAAGTTTGATATTCCAAATTGTGCCCCATTTAGCTTAGGTGAAGGAACAAGGCTAATTTTGTGAGTCTTCAATAGCTAAACCTCAAGTCTCTGCTCCTCTACACAAGTTTGAATCAAGGCTGACCTGTCACAGGTGCGTTATCATGGAGTGAATTGCTCCCGCGCACCCTGCGTTGTTTATAATATAGTGATTAACTTCAGCAGTGAGAACATGGTCACGGTAAAAGGTTCCAGTTACATTACCCCTCTGTGCGACACGGGCCACTTTTCCATCACTGTCAAAAAATAGAGCGTACTACATAACTTTAATTCCCCTGCATACTGAGATTATTGTCGGGCTCAAAAAAAATTAAACCAGTGACAATTTCTCTCCGGCGTCTTGGGGTCTCGATCTTTGAACCTAGTAAATAAGGCCAGGTATACCACCACGATATAATTTTGCATCTTCATCAACTCTGGCTTTGACAGTGATAATGTATCGGAAGCTGGCCGTACAAGGCGCGGATCATCCGTAACATCTGAGCTACCTTCCCCACATGGCAATTGCACGATATGGAAGTTTACGTTGTGGAAGGGTATTTTGAACTATTTTCTCTTATTTACTCAATAACTCACGAATTAGGCTCCTCTTTCAAAGCACAATGCAACTCAACCATGTTTGCAATCAGTATACAAATGACCGGTTTTTAAATGACCGGACCGGATAAATTTTTATTGCACGTGCAATATAGACTGTTAGTTAGAAAAAAAACTTTAATCTTTCAAACGGTATATCATACATGTACATTTATCATTGTTATATTGAGTTGTTTAACTAAAATATTTCCCTCGTTATTCTATGCTAAAAATTATCTCTAAATCTACAGAAATGATTTTGACTCTAGGACAGGGTCGAATTTAGGACACCCGACAAAAGATAATGTAAATACAAACGTGAATTAATTGAAACATAATAATTACAAATGGAAGTAACTCAATGTTGTTTAATTTTGAAAGGAAGATAAAGGTTGTCTTTCTTGATATATTTCATACGTCTGAATGGACAATATTAAGAATACGCAAACCTGATATGGGATTTCGAGTTTAGTCTACACTTAAACAAGTTCAGTGTAACTTTCGAATTCCGGAACTTCTAAAATCCGGAAACTTCTGAAAACCGAACATTTTTCAGGGTCCCAAAATTTTTCCTGCTGTTTTCTATGTAATTAATACTTCTGAATTACGGAACTTCTAAATTCTGAATTCCGAACGATTTTTGGGTAAAATGTGGGTTTTTTCCATTCAAATTTACTTCCAAAATCCGGAAATTGAAAAAGGTGTAAAGGAATATTATACTTACGTTTGTAAAACATTCAAAATCTTCCAATTAGCAATAACTATATATCTTGACACCTATTAGAATCAAAACATGTCAAGCATGTCAAACACTTGATTAAATTGTGAAAATTAAGAAATTGAGAAGTAAAATGTGAAGAAAATAAAAATATTATTGGTAAATAGCAGGTACTTCATGAAATATACTAAAGAATAAATTGTGATATTTAATTAAAATTATGCTTTTATATCAACATTTTCAGTTACATGTGATAATGAAATTTAAAATAGTTATAAACTTTTTTAAAAGTCCTATAACTCTGCCTTTTTATGAACGTAATCAACTTCATATATTTTTCAATATGTCTTACTTAAACAATTGATGTTTAGTGTTTCTTCTTGTTCAGATAAGTCAAAACTTCTGAATTCCGAAACTTTTTGACTAGTCCCACAGGTGTTCGGTTTTCAGAAGTTACACTGTAATGACTGAAACAATTTCATTTACCAAGCAATGCTTCGGATTTTAAACCGAAGTTCATAGAAAACTTTGATGTTTCATAGTAAGATACCATAACCAGTTAAACACTCTTCAGGTCAGATATACCACCTAAAACGTCCTGTGTTTTTGGACTTTGGTGTATGACAGTGAAACAAGCTCAGATCAGGAATACATTGCCATTATTGATTTTGTACATTGCTTGGTACATCGCCAGATACTTTATCAGATAGGCGATTTCAAAATGTACATCGTATATAGTCATAGTTAAACACTCTTCAGGTCAGTTATACCACCTAAAACGTCCTGTGATTTGGACTTTGGGGTATGACATTGAAACAAACTCAGATCAGGAATACATTGCCATTCTTATTGATCATGTTAATTGATAAGTTGCTTGGTTCATCGCCTGGTACTCTATCAGATAGGCATTTTTCAAGCTTTACATAGTTGTACATTTATGTAAAAACTGTAAAGTTTTTTTTTGTTGTTGTTTTTTTTTCTGTACGCATAAACCAACTTACTAAAAAATGACGAATGAATAATAAGCCAATGGTTAAGATCAGAGACTGAGAGTAATTCTTACATAAATACTCTGATCTAGTCGACCTGAAACATTGTTGTTGTTGTTTGTTTTTTTTTATTGTTTTTAATGTTTTTTTTTTTTTTTGTTTCTTTTTTTCTTGCACATCATGCCTGCCGTTTCATGGTTTTTGCTCAATGCAACACATATAATTTCAGCTCCTTTCTTCTAGAAGGATCTTGCCATTGTCGGGCACATCGCAGCAAGCAAAATTGAAGCATTGAATATTTGAAAGCCTACGATGGTCATTGTACTAAGTAGTCCAATCATAAGTTTAGATATGGCTTAAATGTTTTAATGTGTTTAAGTTGATGCTTATGAAAATCAGCTGAGTATTTTGAGATAGAATAGCGTAAGTGGTATGATTGATGTCTTTACCAATATTTCAGCGGCATATTCATCCGATGTTTAAGCTGCCCTTTCTATCCGGGTATAAACTTAACTGAATTCCAAATGAAAAAGCCTTCTTTAACTTGGCGGCTATACGCCAGTTTTCATGGAATGGCACAACGGGTGTTACTAAATTCAAAGTTCCGACATATTCATGTTTCTGCTAACCAGTGCTGGGGGGGGGGGGGGAAGCAGGGCGGGCTTTGGAAGGTAGCGTGAGTCAAGGAATGAAGTTTTTAAAAATTAACATTGAAATTATGATGCCTGATTTAAAGAATTTAAACGGTATCATATTTGGTAAATGGATTATGGGGTGAAATGTATGCTATTTGAAGTGAATATTTGTAGGAATTAGTTAAAACATTAATTAAATTTACAAAATAACTTTATTATGTATAATACTATAGAATAGAAAAGATCGCGAAGGATTCCCTTTTTTACTTATAATACTAGTTGTGTTATTTACTTATTTTTATTACTATTTTTTACTATTTTATTAATTTATCTATTTATTTATTTTGTCAATTTTTGCGGAAAAAATATTCGCTAAATGTATACTTTTTGACCTTTATAGGAAAAGGGTTAAATTGAAAATATTTTTCTTTTTCAAATTTTATACGGGAAAAGGGGACAAATTAATAAAAAGTTATAAAGGAACTTTTGTTGTTTTAAATATAGACATATATATTATTTCATGAACGAAATTGTAAAATGGCCGCTGCACGAACACATCGGCAGTTGTTTTCAAATTTTAAATTTCACCATTTTCGTGTTTGAATGCTGAAATCTGCTAAAGCCTGTGCTAGGGTGTGGACGGTTACTTGAACTTTCCATTACCCTCCATTACAGTTCATGAACAGTCTCAACTAAACCGAGCCTGCAACATTTTCAATCTTGTCGTTTTTTGCATTCTTTTAAGACTCTGTTTTTCTCTCTCTCTATTTTACCATGTTAAACGCGGCAAAATATCGTTCATGCGGTCCTGGGCTTGTTCGTCTCATGAATAAGTACACATTTTTACAAATTCTTAAATTGATTGATTATTGACAATCATTGCGAGCAGAAAAGAAATTTGAATGAAAGAAATGATTTAACAAAATATATATGAAACACAATGTTCATATATGATGTTTGAATCCATAATTATAGGTATTTAAGGTCAGCAATGGAAATATTTCTTCAATTTTATCAAATTTAAATGTTCTCCAAATGTGCACAATGAATAAAGCACGACTATATCACCAAATATAAGCCACACGCAATCTCTTAATAGTTTAATGCTAAGAACTACTTATTTGCAGATACAAAATGTAAAACTACACTTAAATATATACAATGCTTAAATTTGATTTTAGAAAATATTGTTAAGTGGTACACAGCGTCTTTGTTAATATGAAATAAACATGTTTTTACTTCATACAAAGTAGTTACGTTATGTTTAAAATTCTTTAAGGATCACCACTCTTTCACAAAGCAAAGAGAATAAAAAGAAGGCGGTATAAATGAAAATGATATTAAAAACAACATTCTGTGCATATATACCGGTGTGGAGTGAATGAGAAACGTTTACAAGACTTTACGTTCTGTGCATGCGCAGGTAGTTGTCGGGCGGGGCCGTGAGGGATGTACGACTTCCTGGTAGAAAAAATTACTAATCAGTGTTAATATATTGGTTTGTTTTATCACTCTCTGTTAATGGAACCTCATTATTGATATATGGACTTATTATGGACCGGTATATGAATCCATTTGAAATATCAGCTCATTAACCTTAGACAACTCCTTTTTCGTATTTATTACCTTAACATGTCTTTATACTAAGTTTCATTTAGATTCTTGAATAATTTCATCACTAATACAATAAATTCTTTCAAATAACCGTGGTTCTACCCTCGTTATAAGTTTGAGCTTTACTTTTTGCTCTGTATATATTCTCTAATTCTCATTCAGTAAAACACCAGTGAATGTACCTGCAGCAATACCATAATAACATCTCGCACAATGAATCCAGACTTGACTTCCGGCATGAGCATATATAATGATTGAATCACCACCTGTTGCTCGTATTCCACCTTTATAAGGACATCTATCCATAAATTGTTGAAATCCTACAACGGTAATGTTTGGACCGCTTGATATTAGTGGTCTTTCTCTTAAGCAACTTATTTTGTCTACGACTGCATTATTTGTCCTTTTTATATTTGTATTTTGGAATACGACAGAATTATTGCTCCCAAAGACCGAGATCTCTACGTACATACTAGAAAGTGTTGTCTTACTGATGGTTGTTTTATTCAGTTTTAGTTCTACCCTACCATATGAGCCTTCAATTTCTATGAAATATATAAACAGGTAAACACCACTCACTGGTGCTATGAAAATGCCCGAACTATTATCGTATCCATTCATGTTATTGTACATAATCTCGTCAAACACTATGGGTTCATGATCATTAAATGACGGGGGTCTGTATATATTCTTCACCAGTCTTGCAGAAAACGTACTATTATAATCTGAAAGAAACACCTTATATTAAAATTACTTTCCTTAATCAAATACCTAAACACCGCACAAACTATGGTAACAAGAAAAATATTACATACATTCGTATGTAATATAAGTACGATTGCACACTAACTTCTGTGAAGACTTTATGAAAGGTGTAATGTTAAATGAGATATTTTACATTTTTAAACATTAACATTGAATGTAATAAATGTAATCATAATAGATCTATTAAAGTTGTCTGCCTTCAGATGAGAAAAATGATTTCAAGGAAATCAAAATATAAAAGACAACCATGCAACCAAATACAGCTCTAAAACATAACCACAAAGTTACACATCTTCCACCAAACAGAATATATTAAAATTGTGCACAGATTTGAGACATGATTATTTATTTACAAAAAAAAACAACATTATAATTTGTTATCAATTGATCCAATAAAACCCCGAAGATACGGTTTTGTAAATATTAATTACAAATAAATATAAAAAGGCATTTCCTATCCTATACTACGCGCCCAGGTTAGCTCTATTTATAATTCTCTCGCTAAGTCGTGGTGGTACTTGGGATAATCACGTGATAGTGTACGTAACGGTTACGAAAATGCTTGTCCCTACTCGGACAGTTTCTTCTGTCGAAAATATAGTATAAAACTAACACTTTCAATTCAAAGTTTGTTTGCTACATAAAGAATATCGATTTACTATTTGCAAACTTTTTCTCTGCCCGACTATGTTGATAATTTTCATTGGCTGAAACCAACACGTGATAAATGCACATGAAGGTGTGAACTGACTTCATTTTCATTAAAATTATGCCTTTAATCGGACATATAACAATTTTAAATACAACTTTTTTTAACAATCCCAGAAGCATTTAAGATAATACAAATCATTGCAAAGTAATAAATGCACACAAATTGTAAATGTGTGTATGACAACTCACCCCCTAAACAAAACATAATAGACTCAACCAAAGCAAGCGTCTGTCTCTTTATCTAATTATGTAGTTGCATGACCATGATTTGCAAACCAAATTTAAGACTTAACCTATTGTAAAAATAATACTATGACCACAGCAGATTTCGTACAGAAAAAACTTTTTGTTACAATGGTGCAAAGATTTGGAATAGAAAACCATCTTAGATACGTTCTTCTTATTCTCTGACACCTTTTAAAAATAAGTTTAAACAAATATCTTGCCGATCAAATAAATATCTTCTTAACTCTGTCATTATGTTATTATGTTTTAATATAATAATATAATAATTATTATGCATGTATATTTTGTTAAAATACTTTTAAATGAAAATTGTATAAATGATATTTAACATTATAAGGGAGTGTTTTTCATGACTGTCATAAATGACATCCCGTTGTATTATTATTTGGGACTCTTTTCATCAAGTATTAGGTTAAAATGTCTTTTTAAACGTTTCTGTGCATAAAATAAACAGAAAAATTTGTTTAGTTTAGTGTCAAATCGAAATACCCGGTATATTTCACCTCGTTAACACCAAAAGCTCATATTACACTCGTGGCTGCGCCACTCGTGAAATATATATTTGGTGAACTATTTTCCAATTTTACACTGAACAAAACAAATGTACTCTATATTATTATTATAAATGCAAATGTAAACAGGAAGTTAATATAAACTGCAAAATAAAATATGATATTGGCTACAAGGACATGTTGCATACATTTACTGATTTATACAAAATATTGCCATATTCGATATCAAGTATCAAGATATGTGGCATGGTATATTGGCTACAAGATTTTTTATTGAAATTTAATTCTAACTATAAGGGTTTTTTTGTCACAAAAACATATGTCTCCCACAACTAGTTATGGTACTGATCACTCCTGTGAAATAATGTCGAAATCTCACCAGCAGGATAACTCGTAAAAGTGTGTTGTATTCAGTTTTGTTTATACTCGGCGCCGGAATAACCATATGTCCGAGATTATAGCCCTTGCTGGTCCACTACGGTAGTCACATCGGGGACGTCTTTTTCAAGCAGAATCTTCCTGGTAGCCAATTCTTCGATCGTTGGTGGTAAAGGAGACGACAATACTGTAGAGGCATCAACTTCCTGACTGACGACAACAAAAACGTCCTTCGTTAGCGCCAACCTTCCAGAGTTAGTCACGACAGGTCAACCGATCACCTCTGGTACGTGCACGCCTCTGGAGGGATTTTGAGAAGAAAGTCGGACAAAATTGTTCTATTTATAGCTTTGGTGGTCATTTTATGCAGCGAAGCAGACGTGCCGGCGATATGCACAACAATGGATGGTACTGATCGCTTCTGTAAAGTAATGTCGAAATCTCGACATGAAAGCCGGACAAGATCTTTCTATTTTTAGCTCTGACATCCATTTTGTGCAGCATAGCGGAGCGTGTCGGTGATATGCACGACTGTGGATGGTGAGTGATCGATGGAGGTACTGATCACTCCTGTGAAGTTTCATAGATATTCCACAAGTAGTTTGACCTATGAAAGTCGAAATTTTTTTATAGCTCTGGTGACCATTTTGTGCAGCGAAGCAGAAAGTGCCAGCGATATGCACGACTTGGATGGTTCTGATCACTCGTGTGAAATTTGGCGAAATCCCGACATGAGTTTGACCTGTGAAAGCCGGACAAGATTTTTCAACTTATAGCTGTGGTGGCCATTTTGTGCAGCAAAGCAGAACGTGCCTGCGATATGCACGACTAGTGCTGGTACTGATCACTTCTTAGAAGTTTAGTCGAATTCCCACCAGCAGGTTGGCCTGTGAAAGCCGGACAAGCTTTTTCGCTCTGACGATAATTTTGTGCATCGAAGCGGACAATGCAGGCGATATGCACAACTAGGGTTAGTACTGATCATTTATATGAAGATTGGTTGAAATCCCCAAATTACTTTGTCCTGTGAAAGCCGGACAAGCTTAATGCGTTCCTACTTAGTTGTTGTTATGTTTTTTTTTCTTTGATCTCCTTTGATCTCTAAAACCCCATAAGCAACGTATTTGCACCCCATAATCAACCTTTTCCCCCACAAGTACCGTCTGTACGGAATGAACATGGATATTCACCCAATAACATCACTTGAGGTCGTACGGACAGACGATGGACAGACAGACGGCGAAGATAAAAAACAATATGTCCATAATTATAAAGTTGCAGACTCGTGCCTTTTGTTAACGCCTTTTTCGCCTTTGGATATTCGTCTTGTTACATGACAGAACATGCCAACTCGATTACGGATTTGCTATGACGCGGTTTTCTCCAAAGTACATGAAATCAATTTTCGTTTATATATAATGTCTAATACCTAATCTACAGCATGATGCTTACCTTTAATGTCATCACCTCTGCCCTGACACTCCGTCAGCTTACATATCGAAATATCTGTACCACTTCCAGTACAAAAACAGCCATTTGCTGTCTGTGTCGGGTTTGTGCATGTCCGAAAACGTGACTGCGAACCATTTCCGCATGTGACGTCACATGAAGTCCAGTCAGACCACTGGGCCCAGTTCCCGTCAACTAAAACGTTAGAGTGATTTAAATCTATTTCAATGAACTTCAAAAGTGAGTTAAGTGAGACATTAGCAAAAGATACCAACATATTGCATCGATGACGTAACCTTTTGTAGTTTTAAAAACAATCCGTTTTTTTTTAATTTTGAAGTGTCCCACGTCAAGTTAACACGATCTTGTGGATATTTTAAGTGTTTTTGTAAAATAGTTTTTATGGGCATTTTTTTTTGTTTTGTTTGTTTGTTTGTTTTGGGTTTAACGTCACATCGACACAGTATAGGTCATATCGCGACGTTCCAGCTTTACTGGTGGAGGAAGAACTGGAAAGCTAGCTGGATAGCTTCCTCACATGAAAGAATCCAAAGTTCCTGTCGGGATTCGAACCCACAGCGGTGAGGGGCAAATGGTTTGAAGTCAACGACCTTAACCACTCGGCCACGGACACCCCATGGGCATTTTGCGAATATTTCTAGATGAAAGGTCTCAAAACCTGTCATGCACAAGAAGACACGATGGCAATACTACATACAATATTTCATAGTGATAACATAAAATAAAAGTTACAGAAAAAGTGCAAATATCATATTTTCTATGGGTGCCCGAATGACTTAGAGATGAAACTAAGTTGGATGACATATTTCAGAAAATTTGATTAATTTTAAACGTAAACTAACCTTTGTTTCCGGGCGCATATATCACAAATATGGTAATTATACCAATAACTACAACATACATTAAAATCACCATCACAAGTACGGTGTACATCAAACATTTTATCCGAGTTAACCTATTATCAGAATGGCAATTCTCGCCTTCTGCTCTTGTCCTATTTGCATCAGTACCTGTCCTAACAGTATTTAACACAGTGTTTTCGTAAAACACCATCTTCGCGCGTTGCAATATAGCAGATGTGTAAGCAATTAAGTACTAGAGGTGAAGTTGACAATTGTATTCAAAACTTTACATATATCGAATAGAATTTCAATGATCCGATACAAATGGAGGTCAATTTTCAAAACTTCCTTGTTAGGTAAATTTTTCTTATTAATACCTGTACAGCAGTTATTGCTTCAGTGGTCTTGAAATGTAAATGCATCACAATGGTTCAGTCGAACAGCGGGTTCAATATTAATCATTTTTGAGTTTTCTTGTGGTAGAAACAATAACAAGGTTCTCTCCTACTTATTTAAATATTGATACGCAAAGTTAAATAATCTACATTCAGCTATTTATCAGCCGGTCCAGCAGCCTTCTGCTGCTTTTGCTGCTGCAGTTTAACGATATTTATATTTGCATTAACCTTTAAGTCAATTTATAAAAGTACATGTTTTTATTCTGAACGTGAACTGCAACTATTACATTGACTGACTTTTCCTTAACATCACGCATGGTTCCCAGTTATAACCATGCCTGGATTTGACCTGGATGGGGTTATTTCAGGACTTCCAAATTACCGGCTACTGTTCCCACATACTAATATTTTCAATAGCAATAGTCAGAGAAAATGGCAACAAAGAGCATGACGAAACAGTTAAAATGAAACGTTCAACATTCTTTTTTTCCCACGGCCATGAGATTAGTACATGTTAAACACAATTTCTGTAAAAATCCTTTAAGTTGAACTTCGGTCTGACTTAAAACAAACAGTTATGTTTTTGTTGTTTTGTTTGTTTTTATTGAGACGTGGCTCAATGAAACTAATGCTGCAACATTCAGTTGCAATGTGTTCAGTTTTTGCCATGTTGGGCAATCTTTGCAATTTCCATTACATTTACTCTTTGAGGTGTAAGCTTTAGGGTATTTTTTGTCTATTTTGTTTTATCTGATGATGTAAAGTAAGGCTTGTTGTTATGCACTCTGCCTTAAAAGTATGCAATAGTTTCGATTCGCAACTGCATAATATTGAATGCCTGTAAATTTAAGATATATTAACAAAGTTTAACGTACTTTTCTCTCTCAATCATATATCAATCTGAACACAAAAAGTTCAAGAAGTCTTTTGCTCCCATATGGTAATTGTGTAATTAGAATATACGTAGAAAAAGACTACTTCAATATCAGGAAAACCTGTACGGTAGTATATTAAGCAATACATGGTTGCATTGATAAAATCAAACAATAACACCATCCGTTTAATGCTATGCCTTTACGTCTTAAACGCTTTACTTCTTAAAATTTATAACTTTTACCTATTTACTTATACACGTTTTCTACCAAATCATATAGGTACCTAGTGGTACAAAATTCTGCTTTCCGGACATACCGACCCCATATTTTCAGTGATGGTCATTTTGCGATCAATGGCATGTGTAGCAATAATGTCGACTGGATTTAAGAGAAGAAAATAAGTAAACATAAAAAAGAGTTATAAAAAATGCACTACCTAGATTTGTTTGATGAGGAGGTGAGAGGGGGTCGGGGAAACACACATGTTCAAAATAAAATGGTGTGTTAAGCATTTGAATTGAGCATTTGAATTATTTGAGTATGAATCATAAGATAAATGTTTTTTGAAAGTACCACCACGTCTGGTAAATAAATGTGGTTAGATGTGTTAGGGTATAATATTAAATAAATTTCACTTTAACTGAACCTTAAAATCTTACACACACTTCCTTCTAAAATGACAACGAGTTGTATGGTTAAACAATCAAATAAGCAAGATAAAAACCATAAAAACAGCTTACTGTTTTTATCTTTTATTGGTATAGATTGTTTTGATACGAAGTATATGGCATTAAAACAAACACACATGTCCGCATTGTCTAGTGATTTATATACAACAATTAGCATATTAACATTCGTACTTTTCATTCAGTAAGAAAAAAGAACATAAAGAAAGCAGTTGATTAATTGACAAAAGCAGGCATTGACACATTCTCTATCTTGGATAAAAAACGAGTAAACATCTGGATTGATAAATGATGGTGATGTTCTATGTATTCTTAATTCTGTAATAAAGACAATGAACACAGTGCCGTTATTTCGCTTTTAAGTTTGTAGTTGATTTTATTTAAAAGTCCGGCAACAAATAACTCTAAAATTAGCTCATTTCAATATTCGATTGATGAGTAAGAGTTGACAGCTTTAATTTTGCACCCCGTAAATAATTACGAAATGATAATTTTTAATTTTTGACCAGTAAAATTCCTGTGAATGAAGTACCATCTGGCTGAATGTGAATGGGCAGTCTCCCTGAATTTTGAACCCATACTTTACTTCCTGCATGGACAAAAATCACTACTGAATTACCGCCTGTCGTTTTTATTTCACTTTCAAATGGACAATTTTTGATATCTAGTTTAAATTCAATGTTATTGTTATCACCATAAGCACTGTAATCTCCTCTAAAACATTTTATGTCGTCCATGATTGTGTTTTCTGTTTGGTTTAATTTTGTATTGGTGAATGCAAAATAATTGTGACTACCATACATGTTTATCTCTGTAGTTATACCATATAGAGTGGTGGCACTGACTGATTTATTATCCACTCTCAGTTCTACTTCCCCATAAGCGTCGGTAATTTGTATGAAATACGTAAAAAGATAAACACCACTCGCTGGGGTTTTGAATATACCCGATCTACTGTCATATCCATTCATATTATTAGTCGTAACCTCGTTAAAAACTACACGTTTATCTTGGTTTACTGCCGGAGCCCTTTTCGAAAGTCTTGCGGAAAAACTCACATGATGACCTGAAAGACACACATCAAATATTCATATCACAGATAAAAAACCCCCCAAATATTACAGATCACATTATGGTATACAGTCGAGACTGTCATTTGTGACTTTCCAAGGGATCTTCAGAAAAAGGTCACATATGACAGGGAGTCTCTTAATACAGTCTCAAAGAAAATTAGATTTAAATATCATCTATCTGTCTATATACCATTGTGACATAAAGATCCTGTATGTTTTGTGATTGATATCATTACTGTGTGTCTACGACACTTGCAAAAAAAATATATATATGGATATAATTATGCAAATAAAACAATTTTCCAACATCAAAGAATATGTAAAATGTGTACTGCAAATATTTGTGCACATTATATTTAATCAATAAATTACATGCATTGATTTCTTATTGGAAAATTTGACTAAGAATTAATAGAAAATAAAGTTCTAATTAGCTCCCTTTAATGGCCTTTATTTACATGAAATGTTAAATTGGGTGATATCTTTATAAATCATGCTTATTTGAACTTACAATATTGACAAATTTTAATTTGAGCATCATATTTATGAAATAAAACCATGACAAAATTGTGTTACAAATCCATATCCAAAGCTTTTTCTGGTTTGGTATCAATATTTTTTCCGTATTAATTATGCAGCCATAGAAAGGTAAATTAAAAAAATGCTGCCTAAAAAATCTTCCGTGGGCACTCTATAATAAAAGAAAATCTAACACAAGTCTTAACCCAGTTTACTTTATGTACATTACACACACATCGCTTGCATCATGCTTCCCATGAACAGACGCTACGTCACTTGATACTTGATACAACATGTATACTGTGTAATTGAGATAGAGGTGTATATACTTTGTTTGCTACTGGATTATAATTGGACTTATTTATTTTGGCCCTCTGTATGTTATAATAGGTATTATTTATCTTATTAACGGACAATTAAAAGGTGTGAACGTCGTTTAAATCAGACCAAACATTGCATTGGGACAAGACAATTAGGGTCGCTTGTCACATATGACATATGAGTCGTTTAATTCAGACCATTTATATAGGAGAATACGTTGGGAGGACTGAAACAAGGTCGGATAAGACAGGGAGTCGTTTAAACCAGGGGGTCGCTTAGGCAAACAGGTAATGTATTGATATTAATATTCAAGACACGTTTAACAGTAAAATGTGTTAAGGACACTGGAAATAAAGATCACTTTATTCAGTAATCGATACATCTTAAAGTATGATAATAACATATCTGCAAATACATGTAGTAAAAAACCTACTAATATTGTCACTGCTGTTAACTAAACATTCAGGCAATTGACAGACTGTAATATCTGTATCTTTCCCAGCACAATAAATGCCGTTTGCTGTTGGTGTCGGGTTTGTGCATGTCCGAGACCGAGACTGTGAACTGTTCCCGCACGTGGCGTCACAGGAAGACCACTGAGTCCAAGCTGACCAGTTACCGTCAACTAAAATATTAAAGTTGTTGTATGTTGCTTTTTCTTTCTTATAAATATAATGATAAGTAGGTCAAAATGTGCTTAGGGATTCTAAACCACACACCCACTGAAATATATACGTTGTATACTTTTTAGCAAAGAATGTAATGAAAATGAAAATCTTACAAATATCTTTTACTATCAATGCGAACAAAGATACTCTGAGTATACTAACCGTGATTGACGGGAATATTTAATGCAAATATGATGATAAAGACAAAAACTGGGACATAAAGTATTATCATCATCACAAGCATAATGATCAACAAACACTTCATCCGGTTTAAGACATTATCAGATTGGCTAGTTTTGTCTTTGTTAACTTCCACTTTTATTTCGTTTGTTTCTATCCCTTTTGTATTTAATCTTGTGTTCTCATATATCACATTTTTGTCAGTCTGCATTTTAGCAAATTTACAATCAAAGCCTACCGCCTCCGTGGTCGAGGGGTTAGAGTCGATGACTTCTAATCCAGTTACCTGTCTGGCGTGGGTTCGATCCCCGGGAGATGCTTTGGTAGTTTAGCGCGGAGGAAGGTAGTCTAGTACTGGTGTAACTCTCCAGGAACGATGGTTAGGAAACTACCCGCCTATATGACTGAAATACTGTTGTGTTGGGAAAAGGCGTAAAATGAAACAAACAAACAAACAATCAAAGCCTGTGACTTTATTTTAAACTTTATATCTTTATAGACTTGGTAAAATTAGAGATAAATTGGCTGATGAACAAGTCACAGTTTAATACGCAGAATAAAGTTTTAAAACTTCCGTGTTTTAGACTTTACCTAACTCATGCTTGACTGCGTGAATGTCGGTGTTAACTCTAACAATGTATACGAATTGTTACCCAAAACTGTGATGTTTATCAAAAACCTATGAATAAATAATGAAGACTACAAAATAGTGTAATGCATATGTAACATCTTGTACTATTACCGGTATGAAGTCTAAAATGCGTAGCTGTGGGCATTGCATTTTCTGAGGAAAATATCCTTCTTTAAGTCAATGTAATAGAATTGAACATGTGGCTCGGCTATGAGGTTGCATGACTTGTATAGAGGTTCCCTAAGCAATTCTACGTTTAAATCATATTTTAGATCATATTAGATTTGTTTAGGACCACCTGAAGATAATTTCTGTGGGAAGAGTTCTATGATATTATAGCCTTTTTCGAAAAGAGTTTACAATGAACGTGTCTGTTATTTAACACACATGCCATGAGTTATACGTAAACAGGAGCACAATATTTAAGTATTGTTTTAATGGGGTTTTACCTGTATAATATAATGAAATATTTGTATGTTACTGAATCAGGGTCACTTTGCTGTGAAAAATAATGAAATATTTTCTAAAGTCATTAGCACTAAACCTTTCCTTAGGAGTAGTAACTAGCAGTTCCTGTGCACAAGAATGTGTCAAGCACTGGTGAACTGCTTGACAACTTACCGTGGAACGTTGCAGTGGCTGAATAGCCCCCGTTACCTCCCATATAAGATTATAAAGGTGAAAATTAGGTTGTTTCTATACTTTTATTGTTTATTTCCGAAAGAAATTTATGACCATTAGAATGTACCTCTTACTTAACACGCATGAAAACCCTGTTTTAACAGGATTCGTAAAGATTTAGTTCAGACGCCATTCGCTCATAGTGGTATATACAAAACTTTTCTTACATATGTCTATTTAAGAATTATTCGTTTTCAAAATTCAACTACAGTTTTATATCAAATGTATAGATATAAACTTTTTAAATGGAAACATAAAAAAACACACACACACAAAAAGCAATCAACGTCTGTGACTCATAAATATTTATCCGATATGTGTCGACTATTTGAAATATACTAAGCTCATTTTTGATGTCAAAGCTAACCAATTTCAAAGATAATTGCATTATAAATTTCTTTCTTCACGCTATTCAAATTACAAGACCGAAGATTGGAATATAACAGTTATCCTTTATCCAATTCGAATCCGAAGATAATATTTTACAATTAATGACTAGTGAGACATTGAATATGATGTGATTTTCACCGGCAGATGTCATATTGACCGAGAGGACATCATATTCAATGGCTCACTAATCAATAATTGTTTGATTATATGAATAGGCTAAGAACAATATAAAAAAAACACACACACAAAATGTACAACCTTATATACATGTACAATTTTTACTTCGTTGAAGCGCAGGAAAAAGACGCACGTGTTAGGCGTGCAACGACTACACACAATAGTAATTCTATTTTATACTCATCATTGCGGTGTAGCCTTTAAGTATAAAAGTAAAGTAATGATATTTTTTAATCGAGAAATATGCCATAAAGAACAAAACGCAACATTTTTTTTAACTAACAGGCGTAATTAACAGTCATTGAATATGAGTCTCAATATATTTATTACCTCCCTTGAACTTAGAATTCTTATGAAAAAAATGTTGTCTTTTTTAAATTACTTCTTTATTTCCTATTGTTTCTACTTCAAACTTCATATATATGTTTCTTAGTATCACTCAACATTTTTAAGAAGGTTTAAAATACTCTAGCAAGATTATTTCCAGAATTATGTCCCCTTTAAACTTAGATTTCTTTCGAGAAATTGGTAATTTTTACTCCAACTTCTTCATTCCTTATAGGATTTACTTTAAATTCCCACATCCTAATAATATGACAAGGTTGTATACACATAATTTCCTTACCAGGCATGGAAACTTAACACATTACTGTGATATAGACAAACCTAGAACTCAAAAGATTAAAGTTCATTCATGTCATTCATTCACTGGTAAAATTGAATGGCCAATGGCCCATCAGAATGTTGCTGGGGTTCTAACCGGTAGGGGACTCATGGATTGCTTGCAATACTATGATGATTGCTTGTTACTTTAACCCTTCATCTCATAAATACGTGTTTTGGCGGCTTTTTGCCCCCACCCCCTTTTGAGGCCTCAAACTGTGAAAAATGCCCTATTTAGGCCCTATTTAGGCCCCAAACACTGTTTATCGTTTGAGAAATGTTGATAAAAGAGTGATCACTTTTTCGTCCCATGTCCAAAAGGTACATCAAGTGGTTGTCATGCGGGGAATGTGCCCCTTCTGTTTCGTGGGTTTGAAAGGAGCGGCAGCCACCTCATAGCAAAACAAAATTTGGACATGAGACAGGCTAAAACTAGCCCCAGGTCGATCGTAAAGTAACGTGTAACCAACGCTGAAAATTCTTTTACTCTATCTCAATCCATTAAGAAGTTGCAGCAATCAGTTTTTGATAGGAAAAACAATGCAAAATATTGATTTATGGCAAATTTGAGACGTCCCCCAGTTGCCATATTAACTGGAAATTTAAGATTGAGCAGACTGTTACAGCGGCTATGGTCCAGTCAACATTTGTGCCAAGTTTTATCAGTACTGCAGCATTTTTCATAGTTTAATAGCAGTTTAAAGTTGTAACAGGAGGCTTTTCAGTGAAAACGGCCATTTTTCACAATATGCTCATGCGGTAAAGGATAAAGACGTAGAGTAATTGGAATATTTTACTTTTAATGTGGCTTTTAAAGAATAACTCAAGAAAAAGTTTACAAAAAATAAATTTCTTTTATGGTATGTAAGTAGGAACTCGTGCAATATTGTACGTATACAAATGTATACATTGTACAAGCAAAATGTGCCAAATCCAGGAATTCTAAAAATTACAAAACGAAACTTCACACGAAAATAATAATTATTTTTATATAATTATTTAAAATAATTCCAAACATGTATCGCCTTTACATATAAATACATGACTGTTCTACTGAAACAAAGGCGAAACGTTCAGGAAATTTTTTTTCGTTTGTTGCTGTTGTTGTTGTTGCAAATAATCAAAGTTTAATTGCAAGTGAAGACATATTTTCAATAAGACGTAGATACAGAACTGTTTTAATTATTCTGAAAAATAATATTAATAAACATGTATTTTATTTCAAAACCATGCAATACTGACTTTTAAAGTATTTGAACAGAACACGAATTCCTTCATTTTTTTACTCCTTTAGCATTTATCACCAAAGCGAAAATGAATCGCCAAATTACTTTTTCTCATGGGTAATACAAGATAATATTGCATATCGGGGAGTTAAACTGTACTCGTCAAATGACTTATCATTAATCATGCTAAACGATTATTTACTATTATTTGAAAGTTTGACTCCCATCTATGTGAATTCAGTTGATAGATTTGTGAACGAGTTTTTTTTAGATAAATGTGATTATCTAATGAGAAAGTGAATCTTAAGTAGACAGTATACATGCATAAGTCAAACTCAAGTAATGAAAAAACACAACTTTTGTTGAGAGTAAGAGTACCTCATTATGGAAATGATATTGGTTCAGTTCCTTGCAAAGGGAATTATATTTTTGGATTACCAAAATCGCTCTAATAAAACTGTGCACAATAAACTTTTATTGATTATATGATTATATTCAACATTAGCGGACAAAATGTATAAGTTGTTGAATAATGTAATTTCTAGTTAAATGATTTTAGAAATTCTTTCTTTCCTGCCATCTAAATAATCAAAAAGTCTTCTTAAGCTGCAAACAGACCTCTTGCATACCTCTTTTTTTAAACAGCAAACGTAATTGTTATGTCAAAGGTCCATTGCGAAGCATAGTGACCGAGGAGATCAGGTGTTTCTTACTCATTATCCCTGTTCCTCCCAGTTGTTGAATAATATTTCGGTACTCAATGTTATCGGCAAGGACATAAACTAGGGTTAATCGGTATTTGTCTATAATCACGTGAGTTAGAATCGATAGATAAATCTTTCACTGTATTTTCTGCTTGTAAAATGAGATAAGAAAGACGACAAAAGGACCTGACGTATTTATTCATATTTACATAGAATTTGATGATTCTGTATTTGCGCCGTTTTGTTTGTATCTTTGTTTGTTTGATTGTTAAAAAGTAAGTAGCTTTGTTTTACCAGCTCATTGAG